CACGCTAACAAGTGTTGAAAAGTTAGTTCATCCTTTCCTTTTTCCCACTTACAAGACTTCTGAGTTGCCAAGCTCAAGTTCCTCTGTGATCAGACTTCACAGGGCAATAACAAAATGACATGCTAAGACATGCTGCTACAACAGGATATCGACATTCTTATATGCAATCTAGAGCATCTATGCTGATTGGTTACTTGTTTCTGCAGAACTTGGTGGAGCTTGAATGTGAAAGCTGGGCGGTCAAGGGTCTGAACATCAAGTATGCCACGAGAAGCAGCCGGAAGGGGTTTAAAGCAGGAGCCCTGAAGAAGGGAATGGAATATGACTATGCCAAGCAGTGTGAATATGTTGCCATATTTGATGCTGATTTCCAGCCTGAACCAGACTTCCTTCTCAGAACAGTCCCGTTCTTCGTGCACAATCCAGAAGTTGCTCTTGTTCAAGCTCGGTGGTCGTTCGGTGAGTACTCCATTTACCATCAACTCTGGAGCATTCCTCTTTCCAGCTAGAGGTCTATCACAAGACAGTTTTCAATAGATCATGAAATGAAAACTGAACTATAATTTTTCTTTTGTCCTATATGTTTGCACTTGTCATATATGCTTTAAATATTTTATCACATCACCAGTTCACCACATAGGAATGTATGTCCATTCTGACCTCATTCGTAAATGCACGGAAGCACTGTCTAGAAAACTAAGGCGAGAAACTCAGGATAAAAAAACTCACTTTTCTGGTTGCACAAAAGAACCGTCTCTTTGCATTTCATGAACATCTAAATCATGTTCAGCTTTTCCTGTCTTATCGTTCATGTGGTGCCAGAAACAAAGTACAGAAACAGTTCCCAGAAATTTGGCATGCAAAATAGTGCTAATGTACCACTCCACAAACATGATAGCGTTTTATTTGCTCCGATTGAATTGATCGGTTCTTAATTGACAGAATTTTGCAGTGAATGACAATGCGAGCCTGTTGACAAGGGTACAAAAGATGTTCTTTGATTACCATTTCAAAGTTGAGCAAGAAGCAGGATCAGCAACCTTTTCCTTCTTCAGCTTCAATGGTACACACCTTTACAACCTATGGATTCTAAGCCACAAAATAAAAGAAAAAAACTGAACATAGATCAGAAAATAAATGGCTGTCTTAAGGAATTTCTGTTGTAAACCAAGGAACCGCTGGAGTGTGGCGTGCAGCAGCCATCAAAGAGGCAGGAGGTTGGAAGGACCGCACTACAGTTGAAGACATGGACTTGGCAGTCCGAGCAACCCTAAAGGGTTGGAAATTTGTATATGTCGGGGATATCAGAGTGAGTGGATTTTATACCACAACAATGTTGTTGAAAGTATTATAGTTTGATGCAATCAATTGACTATGCAAGCAAAATGCAGGTTAAGAGTGAATTGCCATCCACTTACAAGGCCTACTGTCGGCAGCAATTCCGGTGGTCATGTGGTGGTGCACATTTATTCCGAAAAGTAGCAAAAGATATTTTGACTGCTAAGGTAGGGTTTTCTTCCCTCGTTGGCTCTAAAACAAAATATTTAAAGAAAACTGAAGTTCATCCCATTGTTGTTTCATTAGGATGTATCTCTCATCAAGAAGTTCCATATGCTCTATAGCTTCTTCTTGGTTCGGAGAGTTGTGGCCCCTACTCTCGCGTGTATTCTCTACAATATCATACTTCCGATCTCAGTTATGATCCCAGAACTATTCCTACCAATCTGGGGGATCGCATATATTCCCACAGTACTTTTAGTGGTCACAGCCATTAGACATCCAAAGTAAGTTTCTCAAAAAGTGCTTTCAGTTACAATTTGATTACTGTCTCCGCTTCTCCACATACCAAAAACTTAATGTCCTTAAAACCATCTCTGCAGAAATTTGCACATTCTGCCATTTTGGATTTTGTTCGAGAGTGTGATGACAATGCATCGCATGAGAGCTGCCCTCTCTGGTCTATTCGAATTATCAGAGTTCAACGAGTGGGTCGTGACAAAGAAAACAGGGAACAATTTTGAAGATAACGAAGTTCCCTTGTTACAGAAAACAAGGAAACGATTAAGAGACAGGTAAACCAACAACATCTTAGTCAAGGTTATGAGCATTCAGACCATAAGATATACTATACGCTAGACTGTAACTGACATCATCTTTTTTCTTGCAGGGTTAATTTTCGCGAGATTGTATTTTCGGCGTTTCTTTTCTTCTGTGCATCGTACAACCTTGTATTCCCTGGCAAGACTCGCTACTATTTTAATCTCTATCTCCAAGGACTAGCATTTGTATGTCTAGGGCTAAACTTCACTGGCACTTGCAGTTGCTGTCAATGACAACAACTAAACTGTACCAAGTGATGTTATACAGTTTGTTTATGGGTGTAAGAGTTTCAAACATTTCAGATGATAGCCTTAGATGCATAAACTTGATTGTTCAACTAACAACAGTTTCCATATCATACTCTGGTCTCTGGGTGACGCTTTCTCGTACAATGTGGTGGGGGTAATAGGGTTTGTATGCCTTGTAATTTTATTTTATTTTTTAGGGTAAAGCAAAGCTTTATAACTTAACGGTGTCCGGGCATATCACCCGTAACACAAACAGCCACTTGGGGCGGTACAATTGAGTTCCAACTCATACAGTCATTTGGTAAGCACATACGACTGATTTTTGCTAGTTCATGTGCTACCGAATTTGCCTCACGCTTACAGTACGAAACACTTTGTTTGGAGAACCACATCTTCAGTTGGAACTTGATGTCTTCGATGGCAGTAGCATAGGGCGAGGAGTCAACCTTACTCAGGTCAAGTGCTTCAACTAGGAGCTGTGAATCAGTTTCAAAGACCACTCGAATAGCTCCCAGCTCCGCTGCTATGGTCACTGCTGCGGACATAGCACACACCTCGGCACCAAATGCATCATGTATGTGTCCCTGACGCCCTGCATGTGCAGCAACTACATTTCCTTCCGAGTCTCTGACCGCCACCCCCCAGCCACTGAATGACTGACCTGGAATGATGGATCCATCAGTGTTTATTTTGAGAACATCAGCTTCAGGTGGTTGCCACTTTGCTGGAATACTCTTTGGTTTGTTCGGTGCAAAGAACTCAAGGTATTCCAGCCAATTAGCTTGCGTCCGCCGGACTAGTTCCATTGTGGGAACAGTCATCTCCCCTTCACGTACTTTATTCCTATTATTCCACCAATGCCACCAGAAGGTAATGATAAGTACTCTCTTTTTCAAATCCAACTCCCACAAACGCTCTAGCATTGCATGTACGTCTGAAAACTGCTCCAGCTCTCTTCTTTCCATCTCAAGAGACAGCTCCCGCCAAATTTCCTTCACCGCTTTACACTTGATGAACAAATGGCCACCATCTTCTGTCGCTCTCCCACAGAAGAAGCATTTATCACTCTCCAGTTTCATACCTCGCTTCACCAGGTTTGTACACAGGGCCAGCGATTCATGTTTCATCCTCCAAACAAACATTTGCAGTTTTCTTGGGCATGACATTTTTCCAATGCGTCTCCAAGAACTGTCGCCTGAGTATTCGAATTGACCAGCAGCCTCTGAGCTATTCCCCGGTGCCCCATTTCGTTCTTGTTTGGATAATTGGACCTGAAGACGGTATGCACTTCTTACTGAATGTCTGCCCTTACAGTCAAAGTGCCAAGCCATGAAATCTTCTGCTCCTTCCCTAAGTGGAATCTGTAGAATGTGTCGTGCATCCTCTGCCCAAAAGGTGTCCTGAACCAGCTGTTCATCCCACTGTCCAGTTATTGGGCAGATTAGTTCATTAACCCGGGATAGGAAATTTGCACCCTTTTGGGTGATGACCTGTCATGACCATGCCCGTGGTATCCATGGGTCCGACCATATGTTTACAGATGCACCATCCCTGATTCGCCATATGTATCCCTGTTTAATCAGTGTGATACCTTGTAGGATACTCCTCCAGGCATAAGATATCCCCTCCTTTGGCTCTGCTTGCAACAAGTGACTTGTATGCCATGTAATTCAACACCATCTGTCATGTACTCTACAGGAAATGCAATGTGTTGAATTTGTGTGTGTGTGTGTCCGTGGAGCGCTAACAAGCAAAAGAGAAGTATTTGTTGGGTCAAATTATTTATTCTACCAAATTTTACCACCGCGGGCTCCAGTGAACGGGAGAAAAGATGTGTACAATGAAGACACAAATGCCTGGAAATCGCTGTAGCATGGGTAACATGGATGGTTATTTTTAGGAGAAAACATGTGATGAGGTAGGAGCGGCGTTTTGGCTCCGAGAGCATATGCTCCTGGGTGAACAATACCCCCAAAAAAGTAAATGTTTTCAAAAGAAATCTGAAAAAATTATAGATGACCGTGTTGGTGTGGCAAGCATACTTGGCAATTTTCATGTGAAACGGAGCAGCAGTGTTTCATCAGTTAAAAACCAAATTTATAGTCATTTCATGGTGACATTTTGTCTTTGATTTTTTTTTTGCACAGGCCCAAAATGCTTGACCTTTTTGCCTCAAAATTTACAGGTAGCATTTGTATGTGACAAAGATTACAAAAAAGTTTTGTCTCAACTTTTTTGACATTTGAAAAGAAAAAATTGGCCCCAGGAGCACGTGCTCCCGGGAGCCAAATTGAATTTCCCCAGTAAAAAAGAGATGTACTTTCCACATATACAGACGCTACTACACTCTTTGTTTTTAGCATGCTATAATAACTTGAGGTAACAATTGCCCTATGCAGTCATTTTTACTTTCCCCAGCAAATAGCAGGAGATCAATCGAGTAAACTTGGTAACAAAACACTTAGGAAAGAACAATCACAAGCCGTTTTCTCTGCGATAACAGACATGTATAACATCACTGTTTGTGTACAAGATAATATCACCACTGGGAAACTGACTTTAAGTACAAATACAAAATGGTGTTGACGCAAAACAGAAATATATGGAGTAACGGGCAGTCATAAATGATGATGCCATGCATTCCTCATTGCACTAAAATGAGCATTTCATTGAAATGCAACCTTCGAACCCTTTTGAAAAACCATCCTCAATAACACGAGGTGAGTTCTGAAGGCAGCCTCTTGAGTTGTGTAAATTCATGTCCTCACGACAATCTGGTGTGCTGTTAAAGAAAGGGGTACCTGCGTCTCGCTCCCAAACCCCATATCTAGTAGGCGCGGAACTTTCCTTAAGTCGCTTCGACGGGGTAAGTTGGACAGAGTGTCTGAGAGCTTCTGAGAGCTCTACGCTCTCTTCACTGGAGTTAAACTGAGTAGGGCATTTCCTCTTTGATCCAGGTAATAGATTTAGACCTGTCAAAGAACATTAGACATAATCAACTAATAAACATAGCTGACTAAATAACAAATCCAAACAGTAATTCCCCGGAAGAGTACCTCTAAATGTATTGGAAATGCTGCATTGTGATTCCATTGCACTGGAGCAGTCACTAGGGCGGTAGATTCTATAATTCACAAGGAAACTCATGAGAAACATACAAGTAGAATCTTCTAAATAACGTAGTATTCAGAAAGAAGAACTAAGCATAGAAGCAAAAGACTTCGGCGAGCCTATTATCATGCATGATATATTCATCAGCATGCATATATACTTGCTTGTTTGGAACTGGTATTCCACATGCACATGCTGGACAGGCTATTCTCTTTCTTAACCAGCCTTCAACCTCTTAGGCACTAGTAAATGTGTACATACAATGCACGTTGATATTAGGTAGCATATTAATTATACGCTGACATTAGGTAGGATACTAAGTGCACGTTCAGTACGTGGTTAGCATGGTGTTAATATTTGGTATGATACTAATTACATGCTAAACATGTCAAGCTCTCACCCTTGGAGCAATCTAGGTCGTTGGACTGACATGGTATGATGGTCGAGATCAGTTGGATCTGCCCCTTTGGGTCTTTTCATATTGGTATATGTCAGACATTATGGCTTCTGAGAACATTGTAAATTATAAACCGACCAGACAAAAAAACTACTCCCGCTATGTCACAATACAAGTCCTTTTGACCATCAATTTCTTTGAAAGTATGTTTACCTGAAATAAAATAATTGTACACTATTTCGCCAATGTTGGTAGTTTTCTATATTAATAGTCAAAGCTAAAAATGTTTGATGGACTAGGTTTTAAAATGATCTACACTGTGGCACGAGGAAACATATTTTATTGTTAATAGTACAGTACAGAGCTACTAGTGACCCTAGGCAAAGCAGTACTCGGTCCTGAATCCCAAGAAGTTTCTTGAAAGTGTTGACACACCCATTATAGCTCGTACCGAATCTTAAAGTATCCTTGGGCTTTTCCTATAAACCCTCCACCAAGCAAAACAATTACAAGATCTGTGGAATGGAAATATACACAAGTTTTTAAGAAACATTTCAGGAAGGGAATTATTTGTGCATTCTTCTGCCAAAGGTAATTAGCGACCATGGTCTTAAATATTAGCGGACCATATAAGCAGCAGCAACAGAACAATCAGAGGAAGCCAGAATCTGCTAAGGTACTTGTGCATTTAGACAAACTATCACAGTGCCCGTGCATTGATATGAAACCACCAAAAATAGCAAGGAGTTGGGTCACCAGCATGGGAGATTGTAGGAAGAATGTTTGTGTCCTGTGCCCGCTGCGCAGTTCCAACGAGAGAAGAGAGTGAAAAGTCGAGGAAACATGGAGGCTTGATGCACTGGAGCAACTGAAATGGCCGCAGGAAAGCCATGGCAAGATTTGAAGC